AAATAAAATGTGAGATATTACAAGTAGAACTTTTTTTTTCACTTTATACTACCATCATCTGATTCAATGTGACTACTATGAATGATTTTCATTAAGCAAAAAGACTAATAATGCACAGGACTTATGGTTCTGTTGATATAAATAATATTGACATAAATTCTATTTAATGAACGTCCTATTTAAAAGAAAACACATATTCTTAGCTATTAAATAGTTGGCCTTATTTAATGAAGATACATAATTCCTTATATATATAAAATTTAATCAAACAAAAAGTTTTCTAAAATGCTGTATTGGTCATATTCAGAGGCTTTATAATTTTATGTCTATAAAAAAGGAAACTGGGGCCAGCCAGATAGCTCAGCGGACTAAAGCACCTGCTTAGGCAGAGTGCAGTGGCTGGGGTTCAATCCCCAGCATGCTGTGACAGCCCTGCCCCCAAGGTGCACTGAAACTGCAACTGAAACTAGGTGTGGTGGCATGCCGGCAATCCCAGAGCTTGGGAGGCGGAACATAGAAGAATTACTATGAGTCCAATCTACGTAGTGAGACCCTGTAGACCTTGTAGACCCTGCCCTAAATAAATTTTTTAAAAAAGAAAGGAAACCAGCAATGTGTTGCCAAAAATGACAAAAGTATGGGACTTCCTCAGGAAGGATCATACAGCTAAGTCTATGGAGGGTGAGGTCCGTGTCTCATTAATTTGTACCTGCAACACAATCTTCAGCTCTGCATATATTAATTTTGCTGAAATAACATTCATTTATTCATTCATTCATTCATCAAGCATCTACTTGGTGCCCACTACCTGCCAGATCTTGTACTAAATAATAAGGTAGGGCTGGAGAGATGGCTCAGTGGTCTAAAGCACCTACTTGGAACAAGCTTGGCAAAGCACAGGGACCGCGGTTCAATCCCCCAGTACCACATGCCAGCCAGCCCCGCCCCCTGGTGGGCTGAGCTGGCCACACACACACACACACACACACACAATAAATAAATGTAATAAATAAATAAATAAATAAATAAATAAATAATAAGGTATTCGTTAGGGAATAAAACAGGCTTCAGAGTTCAATCCCGGGTTCCGCAAAACAAAACAAAACAAAAAAACAGGCTTCAGGACTTTACCTTGGTGGACTTAATAATCTAGTGAGGAAGGACAAATAAGATCATTAAAACTTGTGCTATAATAGAAATGAACAGGGTACAATGATAAAGGGACTTACTTTAAATGGTCAACGAAATTCTCTCAAACCCTTAAGAAGTAATATTTAGCAGCAAAACTCATAAAAGCTAAATTGTGAAAGAGTAGCCTACAGATGAATAAAGAAAATGTGTTATTAATATACAATGAAATACTATTATGCCATAAAGGGTAAGTTTGAATCATATAGGAAAATGGATGTACTTAAATACAACAATGCTAAGTGAGATAAATAATACACACAACCTTATATATCACATAATTTCTCCTATACAAAAACCCAAGTGTAAATAAGGAAGCAATATAAAATGCAGACAATAAGAAACAAAGGGATAGAGCATTTCCAAATGAAAGGGGAAAAAGAGAAGGAGGGGGGTAGGGAATAAAAAATGAATGATGTGTCATGTACATGTACCAACTCTCTATGATGAATGTGATCATATTCTGCAAGTATTAATAAAAATAAAATTTAAAAAGTGATATTTAAGTCTAAGCTTCAATGAGGAGATTGCTCTCTGCATAGCATAAACCTTGGCAAGTTATTCTCTAAACTAATTTAAGGGCCAGGGAGATGGCTCAGTAGAATAAGCGCTTCCCTGGCAAGCACAAGGGTCTGAGTTCAATTCCTGGTTCGGCAAAAAAATAAATAATAAAAATAAACTAATTTAACAGCAGCTTAGCCCCCATTTAGGTAATCCACAATATAGTTTCTACATTTTGAAATCTAAAACAACAAAAAAAGAAATCTGCAATTTTCTAAATAGTCCATGTCATTCACCAGCCTTCCCCAGGCTGAACATCAGTAGTTTCCCAGCATTCTTTACATATGATTGTATGTAACTATACCAATCTGACATTTTTACAAGCACATAACTTTTAATTAGGATTATTTTCTACCTTTTTCAAATTGTTATAAGATAATTTTAAAACTCTAATATTTGTAGAGGACCAGCAGCCACGCATGTTGGCTCACATTTGTAATTCCACTACTCTGGGAAGCTGAAGCAGGAGGATCACAAGTTTGAGCCCAGCCTGGGCATCTTAGTGACTTAGTGAGACTCTATCTCAAAAAGGGGGGCGAGGGGGGGGAACAAACTACTGACTTTAAATGAAAGTCAAGTGATACTACTATAAAATTATCAAATATCTTTATACTCAAATTTTGTGGTGGCAATGGAAGTAGAAGATAGAGAAACATGTCAGTCAGGCATGCTGCTGTATGTCTGAAATCCCAGCTACTGGAGAGGCTGAGGCAAGAAAATTGAAAATTTGAGGCCAGTCTGGGAATTTAGTACGATTCTATCTTAAAAATTAAAAGGGCAATCAAGTGTGGTGGCATACCCTTGTAATCCCAGCCTCTGGGAGGCTTAGGCAGGAGGATCACAAGTTTGAGGGCAATTTGGGCTACAGAGTTCAAGGTCAGCCTGGACCAAAATAGCAAGAGCCTGTCTCAAAAAAATAAAAGGGCTAAGGTAGTGCAACACTACCTGGGTTCAATCCTCAGTACAAAAAGAAATCAATGAAAGCAAGAAAACAAGCTGAGAGAAAGAGGAAGAAAAAAACTTGCAGGTTTGTATATAGTAACATAAATATTAAAGGTAAAAAGGGAAGAGACCAAAAATTATGTTGATGAACTCACTGATTATAGCTCTTAGTCTAGTTCTCAGATATTCTGGTTTAGGAAACTCAGATTCAAAACAGTAGTTATAAGCCAGAATTATATTTTACTAATTTTCCTTATGAAATAGATAATCATACTTTTCAGATTACTAAGACCATTAGTCATATTCTACTTTTTACAATTTATTGATCCACAATGAACATAATCTTTCAAAAGAAAAAGAATCTGATGAGCATTCTTACCTATATATCAAAATTTATTATCAGGAGGCTAAATAAGAAAAAATGCTTAATGAATATGGATTAGGTAAAGGGACTAAGATCTTTTAGAGAGGCCATGGTCAGAACTGATCAAATATTTCTGCCTCCCAGCAAAGAGTGCCTTTCTGGTTACCAGAATTATCAGGAGCCTCAAATGACGTTCCTTTATGCTCTGTATAGCAATGCATAAGCATGACCAAATTCTGCTTTTCAGATTCTATTTCAATGTCCATTGCTGACCACCCATCTCATTTCTGCAGATACAGCCTTTCTTAAGATATGTCCGTGGGTAATCTACTAGGTACTGAATGCACAGGCTTGGAGAAGATGTGGGCCTCATCCTCAGGAATTCACCTTCTATTGAGTAACACCTTCTCTTCTCTGTCTTTGACCTGGAAGACTGCTGGTCTTTTTAAATGTTTTCTGCATGTATCTAATTTTACTAATTTTGTGAAGATGGTATTTAATTTTCAGTCTACGAATAATTTACCATTATTACTCTTATATGTCAATTAAGGTCATTTTGTATAGCAGAGACAACTGAAGTACTGTGAAGTGAAACAGCTTGACTGAAATCATCAAGCTAATAAGCAGTTAAGCCAAGATTCAAATTCTAGGTCTTTCTGGCTCAGAAGACCACACAATTTTTCCTCTATTCTATCTAGTCTCTTCAGAAATAAAAATCTGAGAGATGTATATAAAGCAGAAGAGGCTGGAGATATAGCTCAATGGTACAACACCCACCTGGCAAGTTCAAGGTCCTGAGTTCAATTCCCAGTATCACACACACACAAAGAAGTATGTAAAGGGCTTACAACAGTTCCTGACATATCCTCTAATTCAATTACTATGTGTGCCAAAATAAATTCTACAGTACCAAATTATAAATTTGTATTTTTAGATCTTTGATTAACTGCTAGTCCCCCAAAATTAATAAGTCAAGAATAATCTTCATAAATCATTGTTCAATTCACTACTTATTTAGTGGCCTTACCGAATCAAACTCAGTTCATCTAATTGAAAATTCTCAGCAAAAATAAGACCCTTCTCATATCTAACATTTAAATTTCACTTCATATTTTGAAGACTTGGCAAAGCATAGTAATAGTAAACTAAAAAAAATTTTTTTTAAAGATTAAGCAAGTAAAGATAACACAAAATGTGAACCACTAGACAATGGCCCAAAACATCTAAAGCTTTAAATTACATTTGGTTAGACTATATCTTCTTTTATTTATGCTGAATTATTTAAAAGAAATGCTTTTTTAAACTCCATTATTATGTTTAAGTTTTTCATGAGCTACCCAAACACAAGTCCTAGTGTACACGTAAGAAAACTGTGATGGACTGAGAAAAGGAGAAAAAGAAATGGAAGAGTAAGACTATTAGGTGGTAGTTCAAGAATATGAACACCATAAACTGCAACTCATCAAGCAGGAAGTCCTGAAATCACATGACTAGGAAAATGAAATTTAAAAATAAATGAAAAAAGAGCAAGACAGGCCCAAGAGGTTTTAGGGAGAAAAATTAAAAGCTTATTTAGGTACACTGCATGTCTGTTAAAAATCGTAAAAATAAGATAGATTTAAATAATTTAGTGACAACTAAGGAACTATTCTCACTTTGTAACTATGTCATCCTAATATTCATTTAATAATTACATTAATACCTGTCAAAATACTAAAGAAAATTTCTCCTAAAATTTAGACTGATTTACAATAACCACAGATTTCCCCCAAAGACAACAAAAAACCTCAGTGTATATTTATAATTTAAGATATACCACCTGGGGCTGGGGAGATGGCTTAGTGGAATAAGTGCTTCCCTGGCAAGTGCAAGGACCTGAGTTCAATCCCCGGTTCCGAGGAAAAAAAAAAAAAAAGATATACCACCTAAGTCAAATTGATCTTACCCATTAATGTTGCTAAAAGACACAAGGAATACATCTCTTTGTCAGCTTGCTCCTGAAGCTCCTTGGATGACAGTTTACCAGTAACAGCAATCTCTTCTTGTTTCACAGTGTGGGGTGAGTGTGCTGTAGCCGACTGACTGCCTTCTGCTTTGCTTTTTAGAATCTCTATTGTAATTCTGTCACCATGCTGTAAAGGAACAGGCTCCTTTTCCATTCCTGCCTGTGGTGGCATTAACTCTTTAGGAGGGAATCCATATCGAATACACTGTAAATATGGAGGAATGTTGAATTCTCTGGTAATGCTTTCCTGAAGTTCAAAAAAGGTTGTTGAAGACTTAAGTGTAACCATGGACTGTCGACCATCATTAGTTGTTATTCGGATCTTCTTCTCCTTTGAAGTTGTAGGTGAATAGGGAGCCTTAGTAGGGGTAACGGGCGCAGAGGATGGACCATCACGAATGGCAGTGGGAGAAACAGTTCTGGGCTGTCCTTTTTGTTCTTGTTTTAACTTCTCTGTTTTCCGTTTCTGCATTGAAGAAGCCTGTTCTGTAATATTCTGTTGAATAGTTCTTTCAGTTTTACTCATATTTAACTCTTCCTTGTGCAAAGTTTTTGTTTTTTGTCCAGTAAGAATAATTTTAGTTGGGAGCTGAGACTCTGATTCTTGTCCTTGCATATCTCCAACTCTTTGGGCATGAGCACCATCAATATTTACAGGAGTATAATCATCAGGATTCTTTTTGGCAGTCTGATTCAAGATAGTGTGAACAACTTTCTGAACTAGAATTTCACTCCCAAATTCACCTGGAAAGTGCTTGGTAACGAGTTTCATTGCAACATCATAAACATTACTATTCAAAGTTAGATCACTTTCATACTGGAACCAATACACTGTTTCTCTGACAACTCTTCCTCCCCATTCCAAAGTAATAGGGAAAGCTTCTGGTAGATTGTCATACTCTTTACCATCCCAAAAGTGTTTGAATCCACAACCACATTTGCCACCAGTGGACCTAGAATTAGTTCTATCTCCATCCAAATATACAATGGATCCATCTCCTCTGACCCTTCGCACAGATGTGCCATGACACCAATTACAAGCTGTTAGATTACTCAATCCATAGTCTGGTACCAGAACATCTTTCACTGAATCATATGAACAAACCAAATTATTCAAGGGAAAGCTATAATTTTTGTCAGGCCTCAGCTGTCCATGAGTACTTTTAGCCAGGTTATATAGTTTCCCTCCTGGAGCCAACCACTCTGGAGGAACATGAAGTTCAGAAAGGGCACCACAGATCAAACATTTGTGAAGGCGATTATCCATTACTGCCTTTTTAGCAGCTGCTGTAACTTCTTCAGGTTGGACTCCTATCACTCCAGTCCTTCTATAGAAATACTGATGAACATCAGCGACCAAACTAGGATGAATACCATGTTTGTCCATAAAGACTTCTTCCATAGCAGCAACAAGCCTAAGCAAGTATTTATCTTGCAAACTTCTGTCTCCTCCAATAACACAACCACCATCTTCCTCAAGTTTGATATATTGTTTAATAAGGTCCTGGGGCACCCCCCACGCTTTAGGAAGTAAATTCATAGGTAGTTTGGGCAAAGCAGCCCCTTTTATGCCTACCAAGGGTATATAATGGTTTCTACCAGAGCTACTCCATGCAATACAGATTGGCTTGTTCAAATGACCATCTTTCCCAGTGCACTTCTCTGCAGGTATAAGCCCGGGCAGAAAGGTAGCTGAATAATCACCAGAGCTTCTCATGCCACTGAGGGAATCCAACAGAATTATAGGACGATGTAATACATTAGCCAGGCCAAATATATGGATATTCCTCAGGCCTAAGGGAACACCCTCAGGGGGCACAAACAGAGGGTCACACTCATTGATAATATCCTCCCACTCAGCAGCATCAATAAAGTCGTGGAACAGAGCTTGATATCGGGCCAGGTGCTGCTGAAAGTGCTGTTTAAGATTTTCTCTCAGGGCATGCCAGAAGAGTTCCCGGCCTACGAGAGCCCGAGATACAGCATGCACCAGGCAATGTCCATCTCCATCCACATGCACAGGAATGAGGCATTCCTGACTCTTATTAGCCCGCTTGATATCCTCAAGAGTGTCATGCAAATATAGGAGGCTTCCAGAGCGGTCTTTGCCGTACCCTACGGTGTTAACATGCTCTGGTTCTATGAGAAAGGCCCGGTCACCCAGCAGCGCGCAATCAAACAGTTCGCCCTGGTTCATGTCCCGGAGAAGCTTGGCCCGGCCTGTCTTTTTGTCCATTCCATAGCGAGCTAATATGGGCGACAGCAATTTACAGTGGTAGTTGGAAAGGCCCATCACCTTTACTAGTTCCGTGTTCTTCTTGGGTGCCCCCGTCACCCCAAGCAGCGCGTTCCGCAGCAGGTTGTGCAGGACTACGTCCGGGTCGGTCACCTCCTCCACCCCCAACAGCTGCTGCTGCTCGTGCCGCTGTCCGCACTCGGTACACTCGATGCTGACAGAACCGGAGGCCGGGAAGAACAGACGCGCCTGGCACTTCGGATCCGGGCAACTCCCGGAAAGGATTCTCCGGTCTCTGCGTTTCGAAAGCCCTCCTGGAGCAGCCGCCGCCGCCGCCGCCAAAGACGACGGAGTTTGCGGAGCCTCAGGGGGGGGAGGCGGCGGCGGCAGCGGAGGCGGCGGCGGCGGCGGCTGAGACATAGCTCTCGGCTCTCGGGTCTCGCTCCGCGACCCTCAAAGGCTCATAGCCCAGAAGCCCCACCGGCCCGACTCGGTCTATTTCAGGCCCAGACAGAATCACTTTCCTTTTCCTACCAGCTCCTCCTCCTCACGAGCGAAGACGGAAGCGCCGGACGTTGTTTCTCTTTTTACTTCTCCACTGCCGTAGCCGTTGCCCCGAACGTAACGGCCACCACCCTACCCCGCACTCACACTCACTCACTCTCGCTCTCTCTCCCTCAGCTACAAGAGACACACACGCCCTCGCATAGAGTGCGCAGGCGCAGTTCCCGCTCTGCCCTCTGGGAATTAAAGTCTTTCGGCTGCTCTAGGCTTTGAAACACCAGGTTCTTCCGTCCGGAATGAACTACAAATACCGTGATGCTGAGCGGCTCGGCGGCCAAAGAGAGGAGGAAGAGGAAGGCAGCAGGAAGGAGGGCAGAAAGAAAGATGGTGACTTGCGCTGCCTGTGTGGAATTGTAGTTTTAATTGACTGCCTTTTATGGGCTTCGTTATTCTGGGGAGCCTGGCGAAAGAGTCTGGGAGACCACATTTCCTAGAATGCCCTGCGGTGCGTCGTCCAGTCGCACTTCCCCTTTGGGCAGAAGGCAGGATCCGGGAGTCTCCGTTAAAAACAGAGTTAAAAGGAGTGGGTTTTGGAGCAAAGGGTCTGAAGTTCACGACTGCTAGAAGGGGAGGGGAGTGGAAAGGCTCTCAATGAAGAAGGTACAGTAAATAAATTACCAAGGACATGATGGGCTGGGAAGTTGAAGAAATGGTTTAGTCCAGAGTGAAGGTCATAAAAAAGATGAGAAATAATAGGATGTTTTAAAAGATCGTTTGGCACCTCTCTGTTCTCATTTCAACCACTATTCCAAGCGATTGAGGCGATTGAGGCAATTGATTGTCCTTTTCGGCCTTTTCGTTCTCTCGTGGGAGTCACTGAGGCACCATGTGGTTTTTTTATATCCTATCCATCTTACAATTTAGTATAACAAGCCCCTAGTGTGTATACAAAGCTTCTAAACTGTAGATATACATTCGTTTATCCTTAAGCCTCCCTCACAGAGAATCTGTAAGATCGTCACTATAAAAGGTATTAGTACTAATTTGCACCTAATGTCTATTTCTTAAAACCAATTATTTGAAAGAGAAATCCTTCAAATGTTGTTTTCTCTCCTATTTTCCCTGGCCCATGCAGAAATGTTATGTCTATAATGTTCCTTCATTACAAGATAAGTAATGTTACCTAAATTGAAGAGATATTTTTCAATAAAGTTTTCAGAAGATTCAAGCAAAAACAGTCATTTTATTTTGACATTTTGCTATAATGACACAGAATTCATTGTACTAGGAACTTAACTTGGAGTCTTTTCAATGGTAGGTAAGCACTCTATATCCCTAATTCTTTTTACTTTGGGCTATATCCCTAGTTTTTTTTTTACTTTGGGACAGGATCTTAATTGCCAAGGCTGGTCTTGAACTTGGGACCCTTCTTTCTTCGCGCGCATACGCGCGCACGCGCGCACACACACACACACACGCTACTGGTTTCAGATATATGCCACCACACCCAGCTTGGAATGATTTTTAACTGAGTTCTTGTGAATATGCCCTTTAGGTGGAAGTTATTTTTTTCCGTGACTGAGCAGTTACATGTGCAGTGGAGCTATATTTTTCTCCTAATGAATACAAAGAATTGAGTTACCAAAGTTCGAAGCAGGTAAAAATGACAGCAATCTGCAGTTCTAACACTTATGCATTTTTGTCATGAAAAACTAAATTTTCTTATTGCTGATACATAGAGATAAAGAAGCAGACCTCTAAAATTGCATCTCAACATATCATTTGAATTATACTTTGACAAAATAATCATTTCCACCTCACTGAAGTAGACCTTTCTTTTAATTTAATCTAGTAGAATCCGGTTGATTAAGGGGCTGGTGAGATAGCTCAGCAAACTAAAGCGTCTGGTTAGGCAAGCTTAGGCAAGGGCTCAGGGACTGAGATTTGATTCCCTGCACCACATGCTGTGCCAGCCCTGCCCCCAGGGTGGTCTGAACCAGCCACAAAAAAAAAAAAAAAAAAAAAAAAAATCCACTAGATTGATGCAGTATTAATTTTCTCATATGAAATCTTTATTAGTTAGAAGCATTCTTTACCAAACTAAATTTGTTTATTTATATATTAATTCTGTGTTGCTGGGGATTGAACCTAGAGCTTTATGCATGCTAGGAAAGTGCTTTACCAGTCAGCTCTATTCCCACCCCTAAATTTGGTGAATTCACTTATTACTATGTTTCTCACAATTTAAGGATTATATTTCTGAAATAAATATTCTAGCCTAGCTAATAATGAGGAGTAAAAAGAGTTAAATTTCCAGGCAAGTGTATAATTATGTGAGGTCATTTAATCTGAAAGTAAGTCACTTAGTTAATGTCTGGAAATGTAGTCAAAATTCAGAAACTACAAAAACTAACATGAATAAAGGGGCAATGATGTTAACTATGCCTGGTTCAGTGTGAGAATTAATTACTCAGTGGAATGTAGAAGGAATGGGTACCTACAGTATTAAAAAGAAAGAAAATTTTGTCAGGGCAAAATATGACGTGCTCTTTCTTTTATGGCCAAAAGAGTTTTAGAAAGCTCCCAACTTACTTATGAGATCCCCGTGCTTCCTCCTCCTTCCCTCCAAATTCCACGATCTTCATTGCCTAATTAAGATAAACTTGATTGCCTTACTAACTTCCATGGAATCTTTGTGAGGTAGATAATAGAAAATAGATAATAGTTCTTGTTTTTGTATCCATATTCCAAATGGGAAAAATGAGATGGGCACCTAGTACTTACTACTGATACACACTCTCCTTCTACCATCACCACAGCATCATTAGTATCTGAATTGCTAAAGCTAGTTACAACTGAAATCAATTTTTTCATAACTGTTGTGTAGGGCTTTTAAACTTACTGTATTGATTTTTTTTAGGCTTCATAAGGCTTCTTTGTTTGACAGCAGGGTAGGTTGGCTGCTGGCCTGACCCGTGTTCTACAGGGCTGTGGGGCAGCCTCATCAGTGCTGGCCTCAGGGACTCCAGCAGGAAGGCTTAGCCAGCCAGAACTCGCAGTTTTGAGGCTTTGTGCTCATTTTGCCCGTGGGCCCTTCTCGATGAACTTGTTGATGTCCTTGCCCCAAGCTTGAGGCCGATGGCTCTCTCAATTTTGCCCAAAACCTGGAATGGCCTGTCCACTCTCGTAGTCTGGTATGATTTGTGGCTTCTTGTTGATTTTCGTGGCCAGATTCTTCTGCATCAGCCCCTTACTCTGCCGCCCCACTGGATCACTTTGCCCACCTGCAGGGTCACCCAGTCATGGTGCAGCTCCTCCATCTCCTCGTCTAGATTGGCTGTGTTCTTAGTGATCGAGTGCTGCTTGTTCTGCCCAGCAGCCCATTTCTTGGAGGTCACCACATCTTTACCTCATCTCTGAGCTGCTAAGATGGCCTGCTTGGACTTGGCCTGCGCAGCCATGGGGCCCTTCTTGTACAGCACGGTCATGGTGTCCCAGTTGCTCTTGGTCATGGTGTGGCGGTGATGCTCCCTCTGGCCACTCGGGCAGCTGCTCCAGACTTACCTCAGCGACACAACATTGTATTGCTTTTAATAAATGTGTAAATGTAAAAGCAAAAGTAGTCTACTTTAGTAACAGAACTACCACCATTTTGCTTGATCTTTTGTATGTGTGAATGTATGCATATGGAAGGGAATCATAACTTTGAGCATTGTTGTAAAGTTGTCACACACTCATATAAAATGTGTGTTTATGCTGAGAGTAAGTGTGTTGCTCTAGATTTCTACTGCAATTAGGCTTCCAGTCACACCCTTCATTGAAACCTGGATGGAGCTAATGATTTAAGTCAGTACGTTATTGTAGCAGCATAAAAATGCAGATTTCCATCTCTGTCCAGTAAGAGTGAGTTTAAACAGAAGAGATAAGCTAAATATGAATAAAAGTGAATAAAGCATGTAATCAAATGGCACAGGAAACATCACAAACGATATGAAAATTTACTGAGGATTTACTATAGAGCAGATTTTTAAGATGTATTTTATCTTAATCTTTCAAATATTTCTTTGAAATAGCATTGTCTTTATAGGTAAGACATAGTTCTAAAAGATTAATATTATCATCAATTTTGTTATCACCCAGCAAGCAAGTAGCAGAGCTGGGCTTCAAATTGGGGTTTTCCTTGTTCAGCAGCTTACTGGTTTGAAAATTAGACAAAAAACAAGTGAACTGGTAGCCATGTCCAGTCTTGGCTTGGTGTTTTTGATAGACCACCATGATTTGGTTTTTGTTTTTTGGGTTTTTTAAAAATGTGAACAGCTTGGGCAGGGTCCACATTTCACTTTTAAAGATTTATATAGCCCCTTGAGATATATTACCTATTGAACCCACCCTCAGAATTTTTTAAATTTTATTTTTAAAAACATTTTTAATGTATTTTGTACAGGGTCTCACTACACAACTCAAACTCATGTGATCCTCCTGTTCTCAGCCTCCCCAGTGCTGGGATTACAAGGGTGGGTCACTACACCCAGACTTGGTTGCCCATTCAGTGCATCTGGAGGGGGAGGCGTCGTGGCATGCAATTCCAAGGATCAAACCCTGGTCTCTGAGCTTGCCTAAGCAGGTACTTAGTCTGCTGAGCTATCTCACTGGCCCTTCCACCCTCAAAAATTAAAAAAAAAAAAAAAAAAAGCACATTCCCTTTCTCTCTTTTCTTCTCCTCCCTTCTCCTCCCCTACATTTTTGTTGTTGTTGTTGTTGTTGTTGTTGTTGTTATGACAATAAGGTCCAGTGCTAGGCAGGCACTCTTAACACTGAGCTACATCTTCCACCCCATGTGCCTTTCCCATACCAGATAGGAACTAGGCACAGGAGAAGCTGTTCTCAAAAAGCTCCCATGGTGTGCACCTTAGTCCTAGCTCCTAGGGAGGCTGAGGATGTGAATTTGAATAGCTAGACCCCATTCAGGGTGGGCAGGGTGTAATTACATCAAAAATCTCTTAGAGAAGGTATGCCAGAACATGAAAGGAAGACTTTGTGAACAAGAGTTGCAAAGAGTATTTAGAAAAACAGATTTGTATCTTTTTTTTTCCTTTGGGGTGTTGCGGGGGACTGAACCTGGAGCCTCATGCATTCTAGGCAAGTGCTCTACCATGGAGCTTTATCCCAGCCCAATATTTAGCATTGTCC